ACAACTGTTATATTCAATATCGATGCAATACAGCCATTTGATCAAATTCCTAAACGCCTATAATCAAATCACGTTGGATTTTCGAAAGAACAACTCGATTTTAACATTTCCCAAGTCAATTTAGAGATGTGATCGAATCTCGAAATCAGTTCAATCAGTTATCATTAGATCACAGATTTGTTTAAGGAAAAGTTACTAGCGAGTTGATCTTTTAATATTAGGGGGTTTTATTTATAACCGTTATTTTCCTACGAAATATAAATGTTATTAGTAAGCCCATTATCACACTTAAACTAACTGATTCCAATGTTTTTAATATTTTGACTAAGGATCTTACTGAAAATATATACGATTATTTTTAGCACATACAAAATTATTGAAAAAATACTATTGCTTCTTGCAGAACCAACCCAGAAATTAAAAAAAGTACATTTCTGTTTGTTAAAAATTTATAATCGACGATTACTCATGCCAAGGTTACGAATAGGAAGGATTACAGAAAGTGCTTTTATCTGTGATTTGATTTGACAATCTCAATATGATGGTCTAGCAGCCTCTATAAATTGCATTGCATAAGAAGGCTAAAGCACACACCGTGCACAAGCCACGATATGATAAGTCTTTCATAACATCAAATCCAGTTAACATTATCAAACATCAAAAATCGTTCATCGGGGCATTCAATAAGTAACGATCTGAGAGGAATCCGGGAGGTGATGAAGCTGCAAAGTCGGTCGAACAATGAGGTTACGAACGACGACAATGTTACGCTCTGAATGCACACGATAAGACAGACATACGTGTTACTGTCATCACAAATAGCTTGAAATCAACTGTATTATAAGCATGGTAAAATTGATTTCCGCTCAACGATGCTGCAGTTGAGACATCTCTTCCTGCATAATAGTGATATGCTTGACTGAACATGCTGTATTGATTTGTAATGTTAAGTGAATGTTAATACCTCCACTTATGATTTGTTAATATAAAGGATTGTTTCCAAGCACATTCTATATTGTCAATAAAATGTCAGCTCGTATCTAAGCCCTTCACTTCTCTAGGCTCGGTGCAAAATTTTTCTGAATCAGCTTTTGATATTATAAATTGTGTGATCGAGGTTACCGTGAACAACAACGAAGCTTAAATCTGGGACCAAACATAATTATCCTATTCTATTCAAACACTTTTCGGAGGCTAACAAACAGCCACTGCAGTTCTAATGGTGGGTTCCAACACAATAGCTCTTTTAGGTCGCAGTGACTACAGATATAGAACTAAATAATGCCTTAACACTTAGAATGATATTAATAATTGAGATTAAAACACCACTTCATGAGAAAATAAGAGTTGTGTACTAATTTTATTGTGCCCGTACCATACTAGCTGGATGAACGTCAATAAATCAGAGATTGAAAAACTTTTTCCTCGAGGAAAAAATTCAACGTAAAGACGTTGAAAATCAGTAGACTTAAATGGAGATGAGCAGATTATTAATATGGTACGGCAAAACGGTTATACCAAAGTGAATAAGGAACAAAAAAAAAAGCAAAAAAAGAATTCCGTTTTCCAAATATCAATACAAAAAAATTTGAGGTTCGAAGACACTCCGCTCTAATTTGATTGAGACTCTTAAATGTTTGTGTCAAGAATAAATACCCGATAATAAGGTTAAAGATTATTACAAATAGATTTTACAAGATACTATCACGTTATATACACATTTCTGTTATTGTCAGAAGATACAATTATGTGATGCCACCACTGTATTATGCCGGCATAACACAATCACATATAATTGTGTTGTCTAATCGAAAGCGTTCTATATTTATTAAACAGTAGTTTTAGCACGAGATTCCTTATTAGTCCCATCATTGTTTTCATCTTTCTCATCAATTAGATGTAGTAACGTAATATTATGAATATTTGTTTCAATGAAGACAACGTTAAATTTCGAATTTTACAGCTTTAAATGAACACAATTTATAAGGCTTATTTGTAAAATTGCAAGCTGCGATTTGTCGACGTCGAAAAATCGTGTAGACCTTGAACTACAGAAATGGCAACTACAGCAATTTAGTACAAAATGGTACAGAGTTCAGGGCATGACATTGCGTTACTTTCAATGTTCAATTTAAGCATAATATCGATTAAACCTTTTATATTCACTAATGACTAATAATTATAAATATTTTTTTACAAAATTACATATATTGCTCAGATCCCATAATATGTAGCCAAATGACTTGTATTGTGGCAATCCGAAGTAACAAAGGTACCAGGACACCAGTGGCGTAGCTAAGTAACCTAGGGCCCTGGGGCAAATAAAAATAATGGGGCCCACTGCTATCACAACTGGTAAGGTTTTTGAAGTAAAATCATTAAATATACAAATATTTTAAAAATGCTAAGCAACTTTATCATTAGCTCCTTTTCGTGCATGGGCAGGTAATAAAACTTAAACACTAACAACCTAAATTACAATTATTTTGATTCTTGTTGTAGGTATTAGGCAATTAAACGAAATAGAAAAGATTCAAGGGTTTATTATATATTTATTTATTCATAGATACGTTGCACCAGCTTACTGTTACTTAACCTATCGCCATGCAAGCTATTTACAAAAATTATCAATTGATATATTTTGTCCAGAAGTACTTGCAGAAGGCTGACTAAAAAACTTATCAATTTTGGGCAATTTTTGTTTACTTTCTTCTCTTTCTTGGCGTTGTTTGCGTTTAAATGCACCACTGGGTTTTTTTTTGTCCTGTTTTCTAATTTATTTATGTTTGTACATAAATAAGTTAGAAAAAATGTACTCAAGTAGGTACTCACTGTTCACTGACAACGTTACAAGTAAAGGAAAGCGAAACGTAATAATACGATACAAGACGTCGTTGGGGAATCCCTGGCAAACATTTTATCGCTGCCAGTGTTACCACATTTGACGGTTTAAAAAATGACAAAAAACATTACGTAATTAATGGACGGCCCCCTACCGCATGTGACTTGTATTTTGCACGGTATTTTGAGTTATATAGTGAGTAGCCGAAATCTATCGATTTCTTAACGTAACTATGTATACGTACTATAATCAAATAAAATTGAACTTTTGTATGGACCAGTACAAAAAAATTATTGACATACGCTTACTTACTCCTGATACATTAACTTTTTAACCATTCTCGAAAAAAATCTTGACTCGAAGTTCACAATCGCGAATCACAAAAAACGCATATCGATAAATAATAATATGCAGATATTGATATCCGACAAATTGATGAAAACATTAATAACACTGTCAATCCACACGTATAATTTAGGGGAATTCCCTTTTTATAACTTTGGAATTTCTCACAACTGAGCTGCCATGATTAAATTCGAGTTGTCACCTGTCATATTTATTTTGAAAATGGGAGAAATTTTCAAAAGTTGAGTTCGATTGAGATTTTCTGGTAAAGATCAGAGGGCCCCCTGAGCTTGAGGGCCCCGGGGCACTGCCCCGCCTAGCCCCTTAGTAGCTACGCCACTGCAGGACACCCAGACCCGTGACAATATAGATTTTTTTTATTGAGCCTACCGCGATTCAAAGTCGGACCTTTTAAGTAAAATTTAAGATTGCCACACCTTGATAGGCATGCTTGCCACTCGTCTTCTGAGGTCGACAAATTGATTTAAAGACGATATTAACTATAAGGTGTCTGCTGTTTGTTTTACCAGTAGGTAATATATTTCTCTCCGAAAGGGGAGAAAATCATAAGTCAAACGTTTGTAAATCGATTAATCAAAATTGTTGTTTTATTTATTATAAGAACAATCTTATAATAAATCACAAGATCATGACAGTATATTAAAATTGAATTCATCAAACGAATTGGTCTTACCTTTAGTAAGACATTTAAGAATCGAACAGGGATAAATTGTCGCAACTTAAAGATGTCCACGTCATCACGCCATAAACCAATCTCTGCAAAGGAAGTAGCATTTTTTTTCCTCCAAAAAATGTACAGAGACTAATTTGGTTGGTTGTGATTAAAAAAAAAGTCAGACTCGACGGCGCGATATAAACCCTCGGTAAAACGGAATCGGAACCCCTCGTTACGCAGCCTGTACCCCCGCACCCTGTTCGGCAATGAGGAAATATCTCTAGAGGAACTATGTGTAACGATAAATTCGATTTTTATCGTGGTAAAATAATTTTGAATTGATTTTATATACGTAATTAAAAATACTCACGATATCGTTTGGTATATTCTTGAAAAAGAAAGTCGTTCGGCTACGCTAGATATATTATTAAATTATGATTAATAACTAGACAGTGGTCTTTATCATCAAATTATATAGGTAGCAATAAAAAGTAGACAAGACTAAAACAGCTGATAAATGGGCAAGAAGCCAGAAGGAACCAGCGATGCCTCGGACTTGCGCATTGCGCCTGTAAACATGGACGTATTGACAATTCAATGCCACGACCTGCAGCATAACCAGTAAATGTTACCGGAACAGATGATCCCGTCATATAAATAGATAAAATTAGAAATAACCCTAAACATAAACACGAAGACACGCCCGAACGATCTGCTACCAAGCGTACCGAGTAACAGGATATCTAATATTAACTTTAACGCACTTGTGGATGCATGGTGCGACTGTGTTGATATATTTTGCATTGAAGTCGACACAATTAATTAATACATAAATGACATCACGCTCCAGATACATTCAAGTCTCCGGGTTACGTCAGAGACAAATGTTATATTGTAGTAAGTTCGGCGACATTTCGCTATAAAAACAATTGATTCAACTGTGCCAGGGTTGAGTTTAACACTGCTTCTCTAAGTCTAGTGCACATCTATGAGTAAATTTGTAATGTACACTCGCGGAAACCACGCCAATTTGAAGCCCGTTTGTCTCACAAAGACAAAAGCGATTTTGCATATTGCGAACCTAACTACAAGCGTACACACGACGATATCCAACACATTAAAATTTTCAAACAATACCTCTTTGTTAAAGCCTCCTCAATAAATTATAATACCGTAAATACTTATTTACTAAGCTTGTAAACTAAGCTCGCTGCAATACTTTGCGATTACGGAAATGGCAAATACGACACAGAAAATTTCACTTATTCGTAATTTGTATATCCACTTAAAATAACACAGAATCAATATCACTTCCTTGATAGTCCGATAGTATCCATAAACAGGAATTTCTATCACACCCAAAATAATTTACAGAAAAGAATCTCAACGAAATTAACCACTACAGTTAAGAACGCGAAATTGTTTTGCAAAGCGCCACCGTATCTCCTTGCACGAGGAAGGAGGGGGTGTATATTATTTATTTTCCGTTTTACTTTTTATTTTCCGCTCAAACACAGTCTGGAGTCGTGCCCGGGCCACGCCGGCAAGGCGACTGGAAGGATCGACCGTGCCAACCCTAGGGGAGGCTGCGTATTTGCGCGCATGCACATTAGAATTACTAACTCCATTAATATAGTGGTAAAGTTCGTTTTCCTGTATAGCATTTTCATTTATGAACTGGTTGTCGCTCGTTTCTAGAACGTCATAAAGCAATAGTAATATAATAACTTGAAACTTGTCGACTTGTCACGAGGGTCGATTTCGGCAGGAGCATGATGATATAAGGTAGGATAGGGATGAGGCGCGGTCGCAGTTAGTTGAATGGGGGTGTAAGCGGTATAGAGGGCGTTGTTTTTCCGTGGAGAGCTGTAACCGGGCAATTTCATTAAACTCACTTTGTTAGCGAATATAGAGTGCGGCAAACACTACTACTAGACTGTCGAGTGAAATTCCGCTGGACATTAAACGACCAAGCAATTTGTAACCGAGCTCGTTAGTTGAACCTTTTAGCGAACATGAGATATGACAAATTGGATAACACGAATTAGACTTATGGGCTGAAAATTGAAAAGATCATTTACGATATTTGAATTTCAATACTAACGTTTATATCATTTGCTCAAGTTTCTTAAAGTATGTAGGCGGGAGATTGTTTATGCTTAAATCAATAGGTCCAAGGCAGTCCAGGCAAGCCTGTTTACTAGGCTCTAAATAAAGTTAACCTTCACAGTCTGGAATTAAAGTGGCGTTTTATCTTATTTTTGAACTTACTTTACGAGCAAGTGAGATTTATTCTCAGACAATTTCCTTTGCTTATTTTAACAAAAAAACCTCTGATAGAAGGTGATTCGCTTATCAAACAGCGCTTAGTTAAAAAAATTCAATAGCAATACAAATAAACTTTATCAGCGGTGTGGTGTTATAAACATCCAATAATGGTGGTAGGTCGGATGGTCTCCAATCAGTGAACAGCGTCGGAGACAATGTATTCGCATCACGCAACGTCCGCAGCCGAATACGAACGACAAAGGCGACAAAAACGGAAGCAAAAGAACCGAACATTGACATACTTCAATGTGAACTTCAATTTAGGAAGGCTTGCTAGATAAAACTAGTAAAAAAAAAAAAAATTTGGAATCACTTGTACTGATTTAAGGGAGCTGATACTTAACACAAAATAGTAAATGTTCGATCTTCAAAGCGAGCAAGTTGGCTATTTTCAAATTGGCTTATTATAAAACGACCAGTACCTTCAGTACCATGGTTTAAACCATAATTTGTTCAAAATCAGTGAACACATGTCAAGTTCACGTTCTCTTCTGTCGTGGTTTGCTTTAAGCGGCCAATAGTTTAAACCATGTACTAACATTAATCTTCGTTTTATTATAAGAGGGAAAAAGTCAAATGTATACCTATTATTAAGATAATTTATCCAACGCACCGTACTTTTCGTCACATTGAAGCAGTGACCTAGAACCAGATAAAGCTTTCGTCGGTAAATCTTTCGAATGCAGGCCGAATGCTCTTGAATACGTAATTATTTTACAAGATCTCGAAGGCAAACGAAGTTTCTATGCTATTAAACAGGATACAACAACAGAAAAAGAGTTGGAGAAAGTGCATAGGGGCACATTAGTCAATCCATGTAGTACTTTCATCTACATATAGCAATTATCATGCGATGTTTATGATATCGTTTTTAATATTTAACTTATGTAATATGTACATAATTATTTTAGCAAGAATAAATATTCTACATATGAAAGAAGTAATAGGTGATAAAGATTACAGAAAGCAAGTAATCTAACAAAAGGTCATACAATAATCTTATTATAATTGATGATATCTTATTTAGCATCAAATTTAATGTATATTGTGGTCTGAATTTCATAGGCGCCGCATTTATTCCAATATAAATGAGGACTATGCAGTGACTATTTACACAAATGGGTCCAATAAATACCGTATATAAAGAGGCAATATTGCAGTGATACTGACAGTGCAATAGGCATTATACATTGTCTACAAACAATTGACAATTCGAACTCTTTCGCTTAGACTTCCCGCTTTGTTTTAGATATTTGTAATCGCAGAGAAACTTTAGCACGATAACGTAATACCTTATTTGATCCTGGAACAGATTCGGTTGAAATGGTTTTATAATGTACATCGGAAATTTTGGAATCAGCCTAAAAGTTCCCCGGATGTTCATTAGAGTCCGAATCCGAAACTTCGTGTTTGCCCACGTGATAAGTTTATAATATATATTATTCGTTTATTAAGCATAGGTATGTAAAGCATCACAACGGTTTATGTTGTCGTACACGTGAACACAGGATACACGTGTCACGTATCGATCCAAACTCTTCGTACATGCAGCATCAAATGCATTGTCATAATCAAACATTCAGTATAATGAAACTACAGGTTATTTAGATGATATAGAAATCGGTTTCTACACTTAACATAGTATTGTTTAAGATCGAAAATACCGTAATAGCTACCATAAAGATCATCTATATAAGAAGTAATAGATAAAATAAATTATTTTAAAGTCCGAATCCCATCAGACCCATCAGATAGTGTTTGCAATCATAATTTCTAGTATTTATTTTAAAAGAAAAATTCTTGTTGGTTAGGAAAGGAACAATGTACATCTCACGAAATAAGCAGAGTTTCTACCGTATTGCGGCAGGATTATAAAGGTGCCATTCCACCCTCGGCTGCACTTATGAGCAGTTAATGTCAGAACAGATAACTCTGTAACGTTATTAGGCGATGGGGATTTGGTCGACGTCAAAATTTCCGGGAGGGTTCCGCAGTTGATAACTTGATATGACGTTGATTGCTTCGGATTTTCTGATATAGATGTACAAATGTGCAAAAGATCCAAGATTTAAACGTGCAAATAACTTAAGAGCTACAAAATTTATAAATTCATAGGATCCATTAGAATCTACAAAAGTAACATATTAGTCCGTATCGGTGTAAACGTGTTTGTAAAGTAGACTATACAATACAAATAAAATTAAAAGAAAGGACACATTACGTCTAAGTCGCCAGTACGTCTAAGCAGCGCACTCGTAAAAAACATATTTGACAAAATATAGAAGAAATCCGCGGAAAATATTTGAGGAAAGGAGTAAGAGATAGAATTGTGTGGCATTGGAGAATAATGTAAATCTGACTCGACTCTTATTAGATGAACAGGATGGAACAAGAATAAGACACATGATTATTTTAACGGTCAATGTCAAGTTATGCTAATCCTTTTTCAGTGGTGCTCTTAAAGATCACGAGATAGCAAGTTTTATTATGAAAGCAGATCGTGAAATGAAATAGAAGAAAATATTGATTATCTATGTCCTAACATTACAGTTGGTGAGGTACGGTTAGTATTGACTCTATTATTAGCACCCCATGCGAGTGTGTGCACCAATTCAGTTGGGGTACGTACCGATGAATCGGCTTGTTCGCGCCTCGATCGGTGTATTGTGGCAAATGGCATGTGAAAACAAATGAGCATGGGGAATAAGTTAAGGCAGTCACGTGAGAGAACCAACATGGTTTTTCGTATTTATTTTCATTTATAACTAACTTGATGCAAATGGGAGGATTTGGCGCGTGTTTTTCATAATACTGACGTTATTATTAAATTTCGTTCGACTTTCGTGCGATGTGTTTTTTGTTGATGAAGATTTTGCACTACCTCATGTAAAGATACCCTATGTATTTTTGGTTACCCATTGAGATTAGTGCTATGTTGTTATAAATGTGACTGTTCCTATTAAAATATTGATGGAAATTAGATTTTTAGCGAATGCAATAACAGCAAGCCGTTACACGTTTTAATAATTCTCGAATAAATGCATATATACTTCATCCTTCCATCTATACGTTGCTTGTACATTGCTTCTATAGAACCATTCGTTACTCTACCTCAGGTCAAAAACCGTTGTCTAAGAAATAAAAACATAAATATCACGGACCCCAGGGAAAATTCTCGTGTGTGTAGATCCGAGATCGAACCTGTATAGTATCGATCCGGCATACAACCGTCGAAAATGTGCTTTAATTTGAAGTAGACAGAGTTCTCATTCCATATCTAGCTAGGAAAAGCTTACCGTGCTGTCGCATTTTTTGTTCGTGTTTTTGGTAGATTTATGCACACTGACATTTCATTTTAAGATACATGAACGTACGTACACGTCCTCAAATTAAAAGCACATGATCTGGCGGGTCTACCACGTAAATATATGAACTCCATATTGTTACTGAATTAGAATTTAATATTCATAACAATGCGTATAAAGACAAGAGAAAACGAGACAAAATCGAGACACGTTAGATGGATAGAGACGTGTTGCGTGAAATAAGAGCGTTAAGAACTATATCAATATGTTTTTGTTTTACATTGTAAGCTTAACATTAAACTTTGACTCACCATTCAATATAAGCTGGATAGTGTTCCATTTGAATTTCGCCAGGTTGCCGTCTGACAAAACACCCCCGGAATTGCTCTGGTAACATAAATTTTGTAGTCATTCCGTTAGTTGCACAAAAGTCCATTGAGGTTTAATTACTTTAAGCTCTAATGAATGTCAGTATGGGTAATGTCGCTTTAAGCTAATGATATTTGTACTACTGACCGATAGATGTATTATACTCCGAAGGGTACAGGCTACTTTTAAGTACGAATGTAACGCGGTTAAAGAGAGAGGGTAGATGGTGGAAGCACATCAATTAACTTTTGTTGCAAGTTCTTCTATTATGGTATATTTAGTAAGTACATCTATTACATTAAGGATATTATTACTTCATAAAAATTACTGTTTGTGAAACGATTATTATTTCACATGACTGTTTGATGCTAGAATTAATGGAAATACAATCATTATGAGAAAGATCAAAGTTCACTCCAAAAAAAAAACCAGCAATTAGCATCAAAGATGCAATCGCCATGTCAGTGAAGGACGCATATAAGTGAATATGGTTTTTTCTCTATGATTAATTATTTTTTTTACATTAATTTCCCTGGAGCCGAATCTAGTCTTTCGAGAATTATTCTCAACATTTTGTGACTTTCTTGACTTCTGTCTTCTGCCTAATCTATATGAATTTTAGGGGCACTTGAAAAGTACTTCAGATTTTAGTACTCACGTAGAACGGTGCACAACGTTTGGGAGGGGGCGGGGAGCAGGCGCGCTCAGCGAGCTGCACCGACGCCATCAGCCCCCGCCTGAGAACAAATAACCGAGTGAGGAGTAGCTCTAGTGCACAGGACCTGAAGGCAATTCTACTTATGTTAATAATCTCATCTCAATAGTCTCCCACTGCTTGCATTTTCCTTTGTACTATCTACCTAAAGTCCAATATTATTAGTGCAATATATTCTTAATACAAAATGCTTAAAAAATCCACAAGGTCCCTGGCACCCTGAGATGGGCTTCGAATCCACGACCTTTGAAATCCGGGCGACTGCTCTAACAACTGAGCTACCCAGGATCTAACAGAACTTACGAATCTCTTACAAGCACTTGTTACTTTTTCGCTACTACAGAGCGCGCATTATTCTATTCATTAAAGAAGTAAATTTTAATGAAGTTCAGTTGGATTTAAAACGATTGGAGTTTATTTCGTTTACACAAAAACTGAAGAGGTTGGCTGAAACATTGATGAAATTCGCACTAAAAATAACTAAACTTCAAACACTGAGCTAGTTCAACGTCAGAGTGAAAGGGCGCACTTCCGTAGGAACAATCAATCTCTGCTCCTAATTTTAGTAATTTTCGTTACACCATCCGTCACAGCGTCGGCTGGATAAATAAAGAAAATGTCACGTTCTCAAATAAAAACAGCAAAGATTATTTACTACGGCAACTACGGACTATTTCGGTATACCACTGACGCACGCACTGACTGGAATTGATTGAGGCTGCATCTGGGATGATTTTCCTATTAAAATATTAAGATTAAGAGTAGCAGTAGTAATTATTTACCAATTGAGTAATATGGACAATTTATAATAGATAATTGTATTATAAACATAATATATATACATTATATAGATCTTAGGTTCTTAAACTTTTCTGAAAATTCTCCACATCATTTTATATAGTATTTATATTTTGCATCACTAATCAAAAAGGCTAAAATCTAGACCTAACACAAACATGCAAGGAGATTGGTCAAGTGTTACAGAAATTCAGAGTTACGAAGTGACAGACCTTACAATTAATGTACAAGATTCCGCAACAAACAATTATGAGACGAATCTTTCATCATATATGCACCAAGCCTTAGAATCATGAGTCAGTAGCTAAAAGTCCTTATGGGTTTATGGTATTTCAACTAAAACCAAAATATTCTACATTGACATTAGTCAAAACAGAAACCATGGAGTTTGGAAACTATTCAATAATCTATTTTATTAGTCTTGCGATTGGTTGTAGAAAAACATTGTAACATTATATCAATGCCATATTTGGTAATATCTTTTTAACTGTTTGAATTTCAGTATTGTATTGTATTCAAGAGCGTGTTACCATAGCAATCAGGTGAGCTGGAACACAAAAATAGCTGACCCAGCAATTTGTTTACCATTAAAAAATTGGAAAAAAGAATTATTAGTTTCCTCTTCATTTCCATGTTTCATAAGAATTTCAGAATGCAATGAATATTTTATGAAATAGGATCATTCTTGACTTTTACATGTTACAACAATAAACTACACACTACTATAAAAGAAAGAAAGAGAATAATCTCGAAGAACTAGTACACACATATGGCTTAAAGCAATTGCTCAGACTAAGTGTGGAGGTAAGTAGGTTTAGCAATTTCCATTTTATTACTAAATTTTTTTCATATACATTTCATGAAATTAAATTAGTTCTGTACTTAACAATTTAAAGGCTGTTTCTTTCTAATATACTAAAAAATATCCATAGTAAAAATATTTACACACACAAAAAAAATACCAACAAAACTGAATATTTATTAAAAATATTATTTCACCAGTGATTTCACCCATGTGATATCCACAAGGACTTGATATTACATTTACATCCTGAGGTACAATTAAGTGGGATAAAAAGTAGCCTATATGTTAGTTGTGGCTGATAATAATCCATATACCAAATTCTATCTTTATCCAATCAGTAGCTTTTGTGTGAAAACAGACATATCCATCCTTATATGCATTTATAATATTAGTAGACTGTATATTATATTTTAACGTAATATTCTTATTTGATGGTTGACTGAACAATTCCCTGTTATCAACTACCTATCTATCTCATTGAACATTAATTTTACATGATATCCATTATTTTAGTCAGGTATATCATAATTATATTATATTGGATATAATGTATTTTAGGGTGTCATAAGGACATTATGAAGAAAGACTATTTGGAAAATCTATAAATATGTATATTATTATTCTTTTCATAGTTTTGTTTTAATAAGAGTTATAACACAAAAGGTTTTCTGAAAGGTTAGGAGATAAGAATTAACCCATATTTTACAATTTTTATGAAGGTAGAAAGGGTTGGGTCAAAATGTTTTAAATTTTATAACTAATAAAATAATATGTACTAAAATCATGAGCGAAATATTGCATTTTATTAACTTACATTCATAAAAAGAGACAGAAATAACAATTTATATGCGAAGAATACTTAAAATTTGCGGTACTGCAATAGCCTCTTGTCAAAAATGCATTTCAAACATTACAAGTCCAGAGATTTTAATATTCAAATCACATAAGTTTTTAATAGTTTTGCTTACCATTATTTTGGAAACAAATACGAAATCAATATTTTCTTGAAATAATAACAATTTTATCAACAAATCTCCCACGCAAGTCACTTAACAAATTCAAATTTAAGAAAGAAATAGTGAGGTGCATGCATGGCAACTAGTAAGGCTAAGAGTAATCGATAATCGACAATCGTTTTTCATTAATTTATTTGAAAACGAATCCTTTCATTAAAGATGCAAAGGTGATTGATTTTTAAAATTAAAAAAAAGTTACAAAAATCGTTTTAAGATTAAATAAATACAAAAATGAATATGAAATAAAAGGGACTGTCGGTACTTTAAATGGAGTACTTATTTATTGCCTTGTCTTATATTGAAAAACTAAAGTGGATGATAGACGTGCGATCTTGAACTTAAATAATACCGTAAGCACTGAAAACTGATGCAAGAAACATGATTTCGAAAGTGTTGTGACAGGTCGAATAAATAAAAGGCTGACTAAGTTTGAGAACTTGATTTTATTATAATAAATGATATTGAAGATCAAAGACAAAAAGTTTGCATGCGGATACCTAGAACAAAATAAACGGTCGGTGGTATGACGCACCGTAACAGTGTTTTTATGCAGGAGGAGAAACGCCTCAAAGCACCGATAATACCATTAAAAAATTGTATGAACGAGTAGTTGCTGTTACAGGTTAGTGTTGCTGGTTGTTGCTATGACTAACTCCTTCGTTTTATATAAATTTAATGGCATTACATTTGAATGTATATCTCAAACTGGATGTGTGTGCGTTTTAGATATTTTTTAGTATTGTCATACTTTTCAGGAACTATTTTAGTCTGAAATCTGAAAGGGTTCATATTATTATCTAATTGCTGTCCAATACTCTATTTTTTGTTTTGAAATTAATTGTCAGTATTGTGGGCTTCTCCCAACATATTACATAAACTTATTACGAATATATCGTTACCAGCTTTCCACTAGTTTATAGACAGTACTCACCACTCCTTGAACACTTGTTTATAGACTGTACTCTTTGACCAGTCAGTGTCTATTACTTCTACTCTTTCATCTATCATATATATGATACACTTGATTATCTACGTATCGACTATGTACGGATGCAATAACATAATCTTTCATTCATTTCATTTTCATTTTACATGTAGAAATATCTTCATTCACTTGACATTGGCGGAATTGCGCGAAATGCGCAGATAAGCAATTAATAAAAGAAGAAGAAGAAGACTATGTACGGCAGTTGCTTGTCAATGTATTTTTATTATGATAATAATTTATTGTATACCTTTTGAATGTTCATTGCATGTAATTAATGTAAGCACTAGCTTAAGGATTTACCTTGTGAAATGTAGCAATAAATTAAACAATCAATGTGCGGTGTTTGTATTTAGAGTCATAGAAGTATATAGGTATAAAATCACAGATTTTATAATATTCTTGAAAATAGTTATAAATGCCTCTGTACCGTAGGTATTTTTGCCTGCCTTACCCACTTGACACGCGGTTGCCGTGTGTTCAACTCGGCCCCGTCTTTATAGTTTATTACGTAATTATGTAATTATGAATTGAAGTTCTAGTTACGCATACTTTATTTAAACACATAAACTCATCCATACATACACAAAAACACACACACACACACATACATACATACACCATATTTGTCGTGCGATATAATTTATAAATATGTATACTTTTGTATAATTGTATACTTAATACTTACATTTTCTTTGTTAACTGCCCTCATTATGATTATATAATTAATAAGATTTGTAAACATAATAAGTTTCTATAATTGGCGTCAATGCTGCATACTTATTTTTATATAGAAATAAGTAAACTGCTGTAGAAACTTTGTTGAATAAATAAATAAGTAAATCAGTCATAATTATGTAATATAAAAGGTAAATTTCATTTACCTTTGAGCAACCGCATCCAAAAGTAGAAAGACGAGAGTATTATAAAACTACTAATAATTAAATTGCAGTTGATATCGATATATCATTTTAAAAATGTTTCGTTGGTGCATGGTATCACAGCGATATCTCTATGGTTGACGATATATGTATGTATGACGTTTTATGTCATTTGATTTGTCAAATATACTTCAAATGTGTATTGACTAAAAATTATTAACCAAATGCATAAATATTATTAAAATTTATTATTAATTACTGCATTATTTCTCATAAAAAGGTATATAAAAATACATTGATATTGTTCAGCATTTATGTAGTTTTAATTATATACAATTTTTTAGATCGTGATGTAAGACGAACAGTTTTATATAAGTTTTAAAGAATTATCGTCTTAAATGTTTAAGATTCGAGATTTGATAACTCTCTTGATGCAGCCTCGGCATAATTAAATAAATGTATAATTGTTATATCTTGCAGATGTTGAAATTCAGTGGTGCCGTGATTTGGAGGTTAGGGACAAGAGCTAATGCTCGAAAATATTCAAGTCCTAGCGCTGCAGCCTTCAAAACTAATAAGAGTGAGACTAGAAGCGTGTCGGACAAAAATGAATTAGGGTTATCAGAATCAAACCAAGAGAATTCAGGTAACAACAAAGGTGAGATAATCATAAGTATTAGATTTTTACCTATACATTTAATATCAATGATATATTAATGATTATTTATAATTTATTCTATCATATTTATATTGTCACTCAATATCTTATGTCACAGTCATGTTTACATTTAGAGATATAGCAGTGGTCTAATGTTATTGACTTCTCTGTCCTCTTATTTCAGCTATTGAGTACTCTATTGCTCAAAAATAAAGATCGTATTACACTATTATAAGTGCCAGTATATTAGCTAAAGTAAGAAGATTCATCTCCTCATTCAACCAGTTGTCTATAAATGTCACCTTTGTTTCAACTTAATTGCATAAAAGGATAAATGTTTTATTAAGTAGAGAAAGAACAATCTCAAGGAAGAATTGGTTAATTATAACTACCATTCAGTTTCTTGAGTCTCGTGTGTTTCTCACTATGGGATGTTGGCAGAATTTCTGTGTATAACGGAACAAGGCAATATTAAAAAAAAAAGACAAAAGCATAGAGTAACATAATATATTCATATCAATAACATTGATTTTTTTAAGGTCTTGTTGCTGCAGCTTTTGCCTCTCTTAATGCACCTGATGACAATGATACTACGAAACAGAAACCTAGTCCTAAATCAGTGAAATATAGTAAATTCCAAATGCTAGATCATCAAATACAGAAGGCAAAAGATGTTGATAGTCTGCTCCTTGTCGCTGAGAATGCAGTTGTATCTAGACAACACGCTTTAAAGGTTTGTTTTGCTCTAAAATAGTTATATTATTGTCACTTATATTCTAAATTTTACACTCAATTTGTAGTCTAAATCGATGATTAAAAATGAAAGAATTACATCATATAGCCACACCCTATCATTAATGTAGTATCTACAAATATGCAACTTTACAGGAGAGCAGTTTAAAGATGAAAAGTTGAATAAAAACTATATTTTAAGGGTTAGGATTATGAAATTAGGCATGGGTGTTTTTTATTTTACGATACATTGAACAAATATAATAGATTAATTTATTTTACTTTATATACGTTACAATGTCACGTGAAGCTATTTTACATGGACATATTTTACTATCTTATGAAGGATGTGGTAGATCCAACTTTTTTGTTGTATAAAATTCTATACTACGTGTCGGATGTGGCACATTTAACATTTTTGACTAGATTAAATTCTGTACAATAAATCGGATATGGTAGGCATGAAGTTTTTGATCGGAAAACTAAGTATATTTTGTTAATTTTCCTAGATATGTTGTTTCTTATGCCAAAAAAAATGGAAATAATTTGCTATATAAAATTATAAATTTGAAATCTATTTAATTAATAAAATATGAGTGGCAAGTCTTAACATTAAGGTAATAACTTTGTAATATTACCTGTATCATTACATGCATCATTTTCAAGAACTGCGTTTTTTGGTAAAATAAGGCTTAAAATCCTTGATCAAGGATTTTAAGCCTTATTTTAGTGTGGCAAAGCAGTTAGGATCTTGGGGTAATTTTTGATGACAAACTTACATTTCAAGGAACATTATGATTACTTATCTATCAGTGCAATGCAAACATTATGTTTTCTCTAAAGAATTACTAATGACCTTTATAAGACAAAAATATTTATTCAATTATAGTATTCTGTTAGTCAGAAGTAAAATCAAATACTGCTCCATGTTTTGGAGTCCTTTGTGCAGTATTCACTCTATGGCAATTGAGAGAATTTCAAGGGAAATTCACAAAACACATGTCGCCATCAACATGTTATAATAACTCTTCATAAATTAGTTCATTCCGCAATTGACTCAGAATATCTTCTTTCATTTGTTAATAATAATTTCAAATATAATCCAAAATGCAGGTTTCCAACTTCCAACATTCCAACATATATAAATAATATATCTTATCATAATCCCATCACTCCTATGTGTAGAAATTAATTAAAGTAGATCCAAATGTTGCAGCTGTTTAATTATCCAGAGTACTTAAATATATTAGGTCCTTATATATAGAATCAGTGTTTGGTATGGGAGGTACAAAAAGTCAAATATTTTTTAATATTATATATTTATTTAATCAAAGTATAAATCATTGTTATCCATGCACTTCTGCCATCTCATAGGTGTGGTCTAGCATTGTCGTGAAGTAGTAGTGGTGTAGAGCGATTGACCAGCCTCAGTTGTTTAACAGCTAGTTTTTCCAGCATGGTTTGCAATTGCTGACAATAGACTTCTGCCGTAATCGTCTGGCCAGATTTGAGAAAACTGTAATGAACGACACTGGCACTAGTCCACCAAACGCTTACAAGTAACTTTTTTGGGGTCAATTTTCGCTTGGGGCAGGATTTGGCTGGCATGCCAGGGTCTACCATTGCGATGAGCGCTTCCGATTATCGTAGAGAATCCACTTTTCATCACAGGCAATTAGTCGATTTAAAAACCCTTAATTATTGTGCCGGTTAAGTAATGTAACGCAGCAGTCGAAGCGCGTTTGCCGGGTTGCATCACTCAATTCTTGAGGTACCTACCTTTCAAGCTTTTTAATCTTTCCAATTTGCTTCATGTGGATTAAAACAGTTTTATCAATAATACCACTGCCAGCAACTAACTCGGACGTGGTTTGCGATGGATCCACTTCCATAATAGCCTTCATTTCTTCATTATTAACTTGGGTCTCCGGCCGTCCACGGGGCTTGTTCTGCAGGGCGAAATTTCCAGAACGAAAACGTTGGAACCAAAAAGCACTGTGTTTGCTTTTGCGACAAAACCGTCATACACATCATTAACCCTTCGAGCCGTTTCCCCAGCACTGGTACCACGGTCGGACTCGTACTCGTAAATAACACGATATTTCAAGTTTTCCATTTTTTATACTGGGTGACGTAAACAGGACAAACGGAAGAAAAAAAAAAAAACATATGAATGCCGCCTAACGAAACACAAATACATGTGTAAATGGCTATATAAATTTGAATTTGGAATTCACAACCAAGGATGACAAATTTGTGATTAAACTGGCCAGTACGACAAAACGCCGATTTCATATGTAAGGACCTAATATTTTGATTAATATCTGTTGTGTTACCTAATAAATAAATCATTTAAGGGGAAACATAAGGTCATAAATACATTAAAATGTTCATTTTTTTGCAACTGGTGCATGGCCCTCTAATTGTAAAGGGGCTATAAATCTTTTGAACATTAAATTATTCTTTAGATGGTATCAGTGTTGTCAGAGTGGTCGAACAATAACAAAGTGAAGATCGCTGATTTCGAGAAGGATCCACGGTTCCTGAAACTGTGTCGCATATTGGCACGCACACCTAGCACACAGGCCATCAGCTCGTTGACTATGGCTGAAGACTTGGGCACGGTGCTTGGCATTACTGGAGACGATGAAGCTGCTAGACTTATAGCTAACTTGACAATGCCACAGATGATAAAGGTATATAGTAGTAGATACTTGCTTTTTTATAAAAAACTACATTTATAAACACTCTTGTGGCGAACTTGTGTGTCAATTTTTCATATTAAAATTACACCATATGACAATTATATGACAGACAATGACAGATATGACAACAATTTAACCGACTAAAACAGATTTTTAAGTATAAAATCTTATTGAATGCCTTGTATAAAATTAGCCAAACATACTCTAAAATAGAGTTTTGAACTGTATATCATGTAACACTAATATAGGATGCTTAAATACTCTTTTTCACATCTTATTTACCTCCTTTGAAATCAGATATACTCTATTTCTTGTAATAAATGTTGGCAGCCCTAGTTGTAATAGTCTAATAAATGAATCGGTTATTTGTCCATTTAGTTTAGGTTCTTTGATTTCTATTCTATTTAGTAGAGAAATCAGTTATACTATTTTTTTTAATAGGTGATGAAAGCTCTCCAACAAAAAGGCCGTCGCAGCACCCCCTTACTTCGTGCGTTGTCGCACAATATCACGCGACAATCAGAGGTCATCGACCTCAAGAAATCAGCTGATTTGCTCTTCTCCATGACGGCGCTGAATTTCCCCGATCCCATTCTCTTAGACAGGATATGCCAGTAAGATTTCTCTGTATGATGCATTGTATTGCTAGTTTCAAATTTAATGGATTAATATGAAAAATACCGTTAAAAAGTACACAAACTAGTCAAAATTAGGTTCAGCTAATTTAACACACCGAGATAATAATTAGATATTCATTTTGCCAGTGATGTGATAGAGAGTCTACCAACGAATGAAGACAAGCCAACTGTGGTGAACTCTATAATAGTATCGCTTGGTCTATTGAAGTATCGGCATGAGGCGGCACTGTCGGCTATATCGGATTGGCTACAGTCGAGAAGAAACGTGATCCGAGCAGCAGACGTGTCATCCGCTGTAGTAACATACGCCACACTTAACTTTATACCACCACAGAGTGAAAGCCTGTTTGACGTAAGTTATTTTGGAATTTGTTTTACTGATTTTTTTTTTTTAAAGTAAATAAACACCATCTCTGAAGTTGCATAATTAATCTGTGATTACAAGAACCCAAACGCTGGTGGCCATGTCGAAGCATCCTGTGACATCACATTTCAAAAAATAAATGTTTGACAACAAATATTTTCTTAATGAAAAATGATTGAAAAATCCACTCTGTCCTGGCACTCTAAGATGGGACTCGAACCCATGACCTTTCGCAATCTGTGCGATTGCTCTAACCACTCAGCTACTCAGGACCTAACAGAACTGTCGAATTCTTCAAGCACTTGTTACTTTTTCGCTACTACAGAGCATATTTTCATCAATGTTCAGGCAATCCACACAAACAGCCGAAAGATATATTTTTATGAATATTTAAACTTTGGATAAAGATGATTTTTTTTCTAATTATTTTATTTGATCAAGTTTGCATTCATAATGCTATACTGAAAAAAATCGTTAATGAAAAAGGCATAAAAAATCCACTGTGTCCCTGGCGCTCTGAGATGGGACTTGAACCCATGAAGTTTAAGCATTTTTACAGTATAGCATTAATGCAAAATTGACCAAATATAACAACAAATATTTGTTTACTAAATTATTTTAGATTTTCATAATATGTTTTTCATTTATTGAATATCACTTAAAGTTGTAAAATACTCTTCCCAAAACAATCGAGTACAAGTAAAAAGTTTAAAATAAATATAAGTATTTCTTCTTCAAATAATCAGTTGGCGATATCACTTAAAGAGGAGGAGATGTCAAAGTCAACCTCCTGGCTAGATCTCGTGTTTGCACTCTTGGTCCTAGAGAAGGCGCAGAAGGAACACCTCGCATCAACTCTACGAACAGATTTCATAGATAAACTATTGACCTCTGGAGGTAAGGAAATTTAGTCTATATTCTTGATTATGTATTGTTATTGTACCACTTATTTTGGAGTTTCTATTTAAAAAGTTTAAACTTTATTAATAGTAGTAAAATTTAGTTGATTGTGGTATCTTACTAACTTCATATTGCTTTGTTTTGGCATATAACAAAAACTTCTAATCATAATATTTTTAGTAAGTAAAGTTTTAGTAAGGATAATTTAAGTCCATCATTTGATTCATTAAATAAATAAATATGATAGGCACACATGGCTGCACGTCCGGTTACCACAATATATCAAATTTAGCCAGTCGATTTTTATCTCTAACCTCAAAGCATTAAGTTTCAAAATCAAGTGGAGAAATCGGCACTGTCAAATGTTGTACACACAACATCATGTCAGGTTATCACAATATGTCAAATTTCTGCAGTTGATTTTGAACTCTACCAACACTGCTTTAAGGTTTAAAATTCAAATGGAGAAATTTGAGAGTTGTTATTAATCTGACATGCTGTTGGCTGTATAACAGAATTGCCATTGCATCTTTTTATCTTATAGAAAAATGTATCTTATTTCCATTGGCATAGAGATCTCAATACCGTCCCGGCGGAAACTAATGATGATAGATGCGTACGCGCAGTTGAAGTACAAGGGCAAATTGCCGCGATTGCCTGAAGATATCTCGGTGGGAGTTCCCGTGGTACATACCAAGGAGAAGGTGGCTTACGTACACACAATACTGGACACATTCAAGACTCTGGTATCTGCTGATACTTTCCTAAAGAAAGATTGTAATTCTGGCATGGGATTCCTTTATGGTGAGTTTTGTGCACTGTTTTTTCTAAGAATACAAATTTGAGGGTAAAATGATTTACCTATTATGACCTTTTTAAGAGTGAAAAGATGAAATTGTCGGGGTCAAGGGATATGGTGGCTAAAGCTCGGAATCGAATCATAAAAGATATTCGAAAATCGACACAAACAATTAAAAATATAAAAAATTAGAATTTCCGTGAAGTTATTTATCAATAGTATTGCTAAAGAATCAAGATCTCTGAAATATATTATTTAATTTGACGCAGGGGCCTGTTGATTATTTCGGAGAATGAAGTATGAAATGTTGCTAAAGTCAAGAGCACATTAAGCTTTTCGACGATCTATTCTGCCATTCGTGCACACTTACCTTACCTTGTATACACAAGCTATGATCTGTCATTCCGTTGGGTGCCGGAAGAAAATATTGATAGCATCACTGTTACGTTTCTTTACACTATCAAAATTGAAAGTAGTATTTAGAATACTCTTGCTATGTTATTATAATTATTATATTATTAACTATTATATAAGATCTTTTATATAAAATATATTTGTCGGCGGGTAGTCAGAAGGAGGTATTACGAAGCCCAAATAGATCTTCCATATCGGAGGACTATCTTTAAAATAACACTGCAGGCGTGTATACCAACGTAGATTTGTTCCATTTCATCACTTTTCACACGAAAATATAACGAGATGAGCGTGATGTCGTCGGATGTTTACTCCTCGGCGATCGGAAACAGAACGTGTGCCAAAATGGCGGCAATTTGCTATTTGTTAACGAACTGTCAAAGTCAGTGTCACCATTCTAATAAAATTAAAAGTATCGATGATCACGCTCTCTCTACAATCGAGTAATTAAGTAATCTAGTAACTAGCAATTAAAATAAAAGAAACTAAATCAAACGATCTTCGTAAAGATGATGCGACATATTATTAGTTTCGAAATGGCAATGTTTTTTACAAACTGTACTTTGCACAACTTTTGTCACTCTATAAATACATTTATTGACCACATAGGTTGATACAAAAAAGAAATTACTCGTTTTATATTTTATAGACGCCGAATTTGCCGTCGATGCCAATTGTCACCCAGTTCCATTAGAAAAGGCGGTCAATGATAAAAGGTATAGATATTCATATTTTAATAATAACAACTACTTTACACAATACACATATAGGGAAACTACGAAATTAAGAACAAATACAGAAGTCGATTTTTTTGCTTAGTAGCACATTCTACACAGTTTTCCGAGCGAACCTGTGATGAATGCTACAATAGTTTGTTTTGTTTAGTTATGAGCATACGACTACGCTGTCCCTTGGTGATCGCTATTGTAATATAGCTAATGTTATACATAAAATTTCTTGTTTCAAATTTTTTAGAGCGTGATTTAGCTTTTTGAGTTTTTGAAGTTTTTTTTGTTTAATTAATTTTCGTGAAATTCCGCTGTGGTATTGGATTTTACTTCATCATTTATTTGCAGGGTTATAAAAACAAAATTTATCATTAATAAAAATAGTATGGGATTGAAAAGATTGCGCATTAACATCTCATCCCATGTCATCACCAGGTTACCGGTGATTTTTTAAGCGTTTTTATCTAATTTAAAAATAAATTTGACATTATCAATGCAAAACTGAACAAATATTAATTATAATATGATTATATCTATATTGATATAATATTATATATGTTTCTAACTTATATGTTTCTATTTTTAAGGGTAAAACTTTATCTATTTGTAACGGTAATCTTCGGAAATACTGATCTGATTTAAAAATATTATGAATAGGGTGTTAGGTAGTGAAAAATAATTCACGTAATAGCACAAAAACTATAATTTACATTGTAATAAACAAATAAAGAAAAGGAGACCCCGATTTTGAGTCATAAAATTGGATTTTTTTATTATGTTTAAATTTGTCTGTGTGTCACGTGACTTGTAACCCGCCATTGTGTGACATCACTCTGACGACAGCTGTCAGATCAATCGTAAACATATATAAATAAATTCCTAGCCTAGACGGCGCTGTTCTTACTTTAGTTATATCTTTTTATTTCTTAGTCGATCTTTAGATGGCACTGTTCTAGTTTTATTGATATCTTTTAAGCGACTATTCCGTGTATCTGTTTTGTATACATATCGGAATGACGTCATCAATATGGCGGACGGCGTTTTCGCGGGTATAAAAAAGGTTTATAATTTGATTTAAATCTAGGGCAAGAAATAAGGAAATGAAACGTACTATTTCAAATAGAGTACAATACACTATTGTCGGGTAATTTTCTAATGTATTATAATTTGTCCTGTATCAGTAAACACCGGATAGCTGTATTGGGTTTGGATTATCACGATATGACGCGGAAGGTGACCGTGCCGCTCGGCTTCAATCATCTCAGCCATCAGCTGTTACAACTACAGGTATACCTATGTACAGTACAGTCGACATATTACTGTAATACGTTTTAATCCTTAATGCCTTGATAGGTAAATGCTACATTGAGAGCAGAAATTTGACCTTTTGTAGTAACCCGATCTGCGGTTGTTGTACTTAAGGATAGTCTATAAAATTTAAGCCATCGATTTTTGAACTTCATACTTATTCAGTAAATAACACATACTCTTGATACTAACGTTATAAATGCGAAAGTTACTCTGTTTGTGAGTCTGTAATTTTTTCACGTTTTAACTGAACTAATTTTAATAAAATTTGGTAGGCCAGATAGAGTGGACCTTTGGGAAAAGTATTTTAATTTTGTTAGCATTCTATAAGTGAAGACATATAATCGGCTGTCTATTTTTAGCTAAGATTTGTTATTTTAGCGGTAAGAAATTCGTGTATATATGACAGCACGTCAGGTTACCGTAATATGACAAATTTCTTCAACTTTACCGTCAAGGTATTAAGGTTTAAAATATGAAAGTATTTTAAAGTCTATTACAATGACTTTGAATTTGATATTTGAAATAATTAATATTATAAAGGCGAAAGTTTGTAAGTATGGATGTATGGATGTTTGTTACTCTTTCACGAAAAAACTACTGGACGGATTTGGATAAAACTTTACAGCAATATAGGTTATACATCAGAATAACACATAGGGTACTTTTTACTGGGAAAACTTCTCACTCCCACGGGATACCGACTTCCACGCGGACGAAGTCGCGGGCGTCCACTAGTTTGAAATATATTCACGAACTTCACGCTACAACTATTTGACATGTGATAGCAATTGCGAACGCGACGTTTTTGAAAGCTGAAATGAAATGACATCAAAAATGAAATGAGTTGTCTATGACATTTATATCATTGTAATCGTCATTAGTTCCAAGAGCGATTTTAACTTTAAAAGTTGCACAAATAAATAAATCACTATTAGAACAGCTATACGTTTGAAAGAGATTAAGATAGATTATAAAATTATCCAGGCCCCTGATGTCCTGTTGACTGTATAAATAATGTTTCAGGGCTTCAAAGTTCTTCAGATACCGTACACAGAATTCAACCCTAAAGATAAGTTGGTGACCAGAGTCCAGTACATCAACAGACGGCTCCAGGAGCTGATCAGGGAGAAGCCCGCTGCGTAACGTTACCAACTCGTGTGTGGGACTTGACGAAATGTGTATATAGTGACCCAGGGTTAATGTTACGTCAGTGAGATCATTGTTTATGTTAAATTATTGTTTTTTTTTCTTACACCATGCGAAATTGTAAATTTATAGAAAAATATTTAAAAACCAACATTTGCAGGGCAGTGGCGGACTAAGAGGGGGTAAGGGGTGTCCCAAGCCTCCGGTCCCAAAAGGCCTCCAAATGGTTGCAGTCGCCAAAATGATAATAACATTATAAATTTAAGAAGTATGGGGGGGTAATAAGATGGGGTGAGGGTGGGGGTAAGGGGGGGAGGTAATCCCTCCGGCCCGGGCCTTCTGTTCCAAAAGCCCTCCAAATGGTGTCACTCGCCAAAATGATAATAACATTATAAATTTAAAAAAAAGTATGGGGGTGTAATAAGAGGGGTGTGTGGATGGGGATAAGGAGGGGGGAGATAATCCCCCGACCCGGGTCTCCGGTTCCAAAAGGCCTCCAATTTGATAATAACATTGTAAATTTAAAAAAGTAAAGGGGGGGGGGGGAAAAGCAATAACAAGATTTTCCCTCTGTTGGAAAAGTTGTCATTCCGGGCCTATTGCCGCCCCAAGCTTCCCATGAGCTTAGTCCGCCACTGTCGCAGGGGTGCGACTGTTAAACTTTCTAGCTATGAAATATGACCATTTCATGATAAAGAATTATGATTATGGATTTGAATAGTAGCGTTACCAACTTAATTTTTTATCCACCAATACACATGAAGTGAAATATCGTCTAACATGCGCTAAGATGTCGTATCACAGTTACAAGTAGCGTTGGACGGTGGCAGATGCCCGGAAATCGGTAAAATTCATATCCATTATCATTTATCCAGTCTAAAGTCTGATGTCCTATCTAGTAACATTGGCTTCGATTTGGTTGACATCGGATTTGATTAAATACACTAGACGTTCAAAACTGTATTGTAAGATATACAATACAGTATGATATAGTAGTCAAATGAATGAATCGGCGAATGATCAATGTTACAGCATCTTAACCAGAGCGTTGATTTTTTTCAATCCACTAGAGATATGTAAAATATGCTACAAACTATTATATTACTAATATTATAAATGTGAGAGTTTGTATGTTTGTTACTATTTACGCGACAAAGAATAAGTAGATTTTCGTTAAATTTACCACACCAGTTACTTCATAATATAGGATTAACAGATATAATTCATTATTGGAAAAAATATTAATAATAATTGGCTGTCCGAATACCTGAGATGTTTGACCTTTTTAACTATAGGTATATCTTTTCTATGAATATTAATATTATCAAGTATGATAATATTAAAATTAATATGAAATGAAGATATATCTCGCTATATAAACTAAAAGGCCATATAGTAAATATTTTTGTTATTATAAAAATAACACCCTGTATCAACACCTCAGACATATTGGTGATATAATTGAATGTAAAAAAATGACACATATACATTAAATTATAGACGAATTTCTGCAGCCGCCGCCAGAATGCGTACGTGACATCTTTCAAATACATTACATACATAACTAGTGATGGGCTAACGATAACATCGATATTAGTTTTTTAATCGACCCGTTGCCAATAAGTAATTACGGCTTTCGAACACGTATCGAAAATTATGCTTACTTATATGACTTCTGTATGTGAATTTGAAGGGCAGAGTAAATTGGATGTATGCATTATGTATTTATAAATATTTATTTTATAATATCACACCCATCTCGGGCATCTGGGATTGGTGATTTTTAAGGATTTTTCTTTGAGATAATGTTAAAAAAACAAGTTTAAGCAGATTTCTATATGTTGCTATTGGATGCTGTCTATTATTGTAATATTATTGTTATAAGCAAGCAAAAGGTTTTATTTCATTAACATTATTATTATTTATTCTTGGTACAAGCAAAAGGTTTTATTTCATTAACATTATTATTATTTATTCTTGGTACGTTATTCGTTAACCGTTTCTTTTTTATTATTCTTGGTACGTCACTATAAAAATAATAAGCTAACATATCCTTGTACACACGACTGCACGTCAGGCTACCACAATATGTCGAATTTATTTACTTGATTTATGACACTACCTATAATGCATTAAGGTTCAAAATCAACTGGAGAAACTTGACAGTTGTGTAACTTGACTTACTGTTGGCTGGACAGTTAATTTTTCAAATAATATGGCACGTAGTGAATTTTACAAGACTTATCCAAACTTAAATCATACCGAATGTATGATTAAAGTTTAGATGAGTCTTATATTAATTACCATATGGTGTAAAATACATCTCATTAGGTGGATATTGATGCACACTTGAATCATTCTGCAGGCCGTTATAATTGCATCTCAACAGAATCTGCTTGCATTTTCCCATTGTATTATCTACCTAAAGTCCAATATTATTAATGCTATATCTTCCTCACACATCAATGGTGACAGATTTATTATAATATTAGACTTCAGGCAGATATTACAATAGCAAATTGTAGGTAGTCAAGATTTCATTGAGACGCGATTATTAGATAAAAATTAGAGAATTGACCTGAGGATTGGTCGACATTTGCCGATTGCAACATTATTAGGTACAGTGTCAGTTGACATGATTTTATTGTTTTTAATAGACGATTGGTTAAAAAAGTAAATAATTTAATTAGTTCGTCAGTTATATATATCACAGAAAAATATTAGATACGTATTTTTTTTATTTCAAATTAACAAGAAATAGCTTAGATAACAGGCATTAAAGTTGAGGAGTGGGGGCTCGCTACGTCAGTTTTGTAGAAAATTTACAAAATCGTGACGTCATATGACATTTTAACTCAATGTATCCGCTGTAATTTAATGATTAAGAAAAAAACAAAAATCAAAATGTGTTTAATATTTTTCTGCAATCTATCCGACGGACAAACAAAGAAAAATTACTCGACTTTTTTTTGTGTATATAATTTTTTTACTATGTTATCGTAAAATCCAACTTGAAGTCGACACGTTGGTAACGCATTCTGTCGGCGGCCGCTCTGTAATAAACAAACCTTTGCACGAGTTTATTTGTTTCATTATATTTTTAGACGTTTCTGATATTTTGCAGGATCTTAACGGTTCTACCAGACTAGTTGTATTAAGAATGCAAGTGAAACCTTCATGCCACTCTTACGGCCGGTTTCTGAATTGAGAAAAACACAAAATCTCAACTGATTATTCCCAATAGGTAACTAAAGTTTTTTACGTCTTACACGGCAAAATCGTACTGATATCAACTGATCATTAAAAAAACCAGACGGAAAATCTGTTTAAGTGGCGTTTGAAATGGCTTAAGTACGGTTTGAGACGTGCTTAAATTCTCAATTCAGAAACCCGGTGTTAGTGTTGATACTGGATTTCCAAAGACTAGCTTGTTCTCTTTTAAGCAAAATATTTTTGTTATTTGTAAAAGTTGTAGTAATTTATCAGCAGGACAATTTGAAAAACGTTTTCTTCGGGTTTGGTGAGTAATTTAACTTTATTATATTTGATTTGATGTACTGTACATTTTTCTTGAGTTAACACGCGAGTAATAATAATAATTTATTTGTGTTTAAATTAAAGTAAAAACTTAAAGTAAAAAGTGATGTAAAAGTGTAATACAATAATGGCCTATTCAGCCATTAAAATAGCATGCAAATGTAGTAAAAGAAGTCACTATAAGCACTGATCAATCTACCCCAATCCAACGTTTCCATAATATAAGAATTCATACACAGAATAAAAGATACGCTCAACAAGCCAGTTTAATTCTTTCTTAAATCTAGAAAAAGGTGTATTCTTTATAGATTCCGGAATTTGATTAAAAATTTTTTGATACATACAGTAGCAGTTATTTTTAAATCGGGCGCTTTTTGAGAATATATAAAGAATTAGCTTATTTTTACAGGAAACAGGTAATAATAAATAGATTTTAACACTTTTTTTACAACTTATTGTTATTGATTGAAATTAAGTATGTATAATGCTTCTAACTCGACGAATATTCACGAACTGACATTCTTAAAGAGTATATTGGATTACTCAAAATTTCAAATTACGAACAGTGAATAATAAACATAAATGTTGTTGAAGATCAAAGACAAAAAGTTTGCATGCGGAAACCTAGGACGAAACCTAAGATGGTGGTACGGCGCACCGTTACTATTTTTTGTTTGTTTGTGCATCAGGTAGAATATTAGAGAATATTAAATAAGTTTTGTTGCATGATCAATAAATTACATTGAGTTGAAATGTCGCGTGACGCCACGCTTTTGTACATTTGCTACAAAACTGACGTAGCGAGCCCCCACTCCTCTGTTAAGTTGCGATCATTGCGTAAACAATAGTTCCTGTGTTATTAACAGAGGTCGGAATTAGGTAGAGTTATTTATGTACTTGCATCGAAATGTTGATATTAATGTGGACCTTCCCGGGATTTCTAATGGACAATCTTGGACATCTAATGATGTAAGTTTGGCAACTTCGTGCGTGCAGTAGTTTAAATTGTATAAAAGTAAATAACTTTTTATTTTTTCTGCTCTCTAAAATTAATCTCGGGATTTGAGGCATATCCACTTTATTCTTTCGCTGTATGAAATCAGTGTAAGTACATGAATAACTCTACCTAATTCCGACCACTGGTTATTAATAAACAAGGTTTAGCGTTGGTGAAAATTTACGCTGCGACAGCACTTAGTATTAGCTAAAATTCATATTATTAAACAGAGACTTAGCAAAGGTTAACCTAGTACGAGATTCTGCAGCAGTAATATTTACTCCTAGAAGGTAGTAGGTTTGCTTATTCTCTGTATAATATGAATTTGGACTAATAATAAAATTGCAATTTTATCGTAAACTTACCCTGACGCTAAACCTTGACTATTAATAATACTAGCAGAATTGACCCGCGGACTAGTGGACAAGAACTTACAAAGGATGTGAGACGTCTAAAAATTAAAAGTAATTATACGCCCTTAAACCCATTTGAAAGTAGATATCTTCAAACTTACCTATCTTCCTGTTCTTTTTTATCGAAAAGTTATATCAATACAAGTATTATTATTTGTGATATTAACACTACATGAAGTTGGTATAACTAATCGATTTATAATTAAAAATATTTTGTTGTCGACGCTCTGTGAACGATGTGTATGGGAGTGTGTATAGTTGTTAATAATATTTAAATAA